AAAAAAAAAAGTGGTACTGTTCCAAGGGAGCAGTTGTCCAAAGAAGAGATCATTTAGAAAGAAAAGGTCATAGGACCAGGGTGACAGAATTTTGAGGACTGACAATGTGGCATAAATACATATTTACAAGGCTTAAAAATAAGGGTACCTATGATACTGAGCTAAAAGTTTCTAAAACTAAAACTATGTAAATTTGCACTGAATCCTGATATTACTCATGAGGTATAATATGACCATGGCTCACAAAGGTAGCATAAATGGACTTTATGAGTAGCAACTAATATAGAACTGCCATATTAAAAAATGCTTACCTTCAGTAACTGTCCCAGCACCACACGATTCTGTCAATCCATAACCCTGACCAACTGGGCAACAGAAGCAGACATTCATGAATCGGTGTGTCTGAGGTGACAACGGTGCTCCACCAGAAAGCATCATACGGACATTCCCTCCTAGCAGAGCTTTCACCTTTTTAAATAGTATCCTTAATAAAATGAGGGGCAAATTATTGTAGTCCATGTATACATTACTCTTGGAAACATGCTACTTTACAAGCTCTGGGAAAGATTTCTCAAGCTTGGTTGAGACATCCAAATTTCAAAACCATGATGATGATGAGAGGGTAACAAGGGAACAAAGAATAACACCTTGAAAAAATGCCACATAGACTCTTTAAAAAAAAATACCAAAACAAAATGCAGTGCTGGGAAATTGCTTTGATGCACAGTAAATGAAGGAAAATGATGTCAAAGGAATACTATTTTAAGTTATTTTGGAACATTTAGTCATCTATCTTGTCTCCCTTCCAATGAAAAACGTTTCCCCATCTCCATGCCCCAGCACTGCATTTAAAATAACTGTTATAGTCACATACTTACTACACTATTTTATGAAAACAATAAATCAGAAACCTTCATGCAGAATAAATCTTGAAAATCACTTTTTAAAAGTTAGAAATGACACTGTTTTTAAACTCAATTTTCATGGATTCAAAATTCTATTCTAGTTTTTCTTCATGAGATCAAGTTTTATAATTAAATCTCAAATATTTATTCAATTATTAAAATTTGTTAAGTTGCCAAGGTCCTCTGCTTGCTATATCAGCAATGAGACTTAAAAGTAAATTAAAAAAATTCAACCTTATGATCATGTTGGTGGTGCTTAAATCAAATTAAGTTGCCATTTACTTATTTATCTTCCAGAGGTAAAAACACAAAAAGATAAAAAGACTCGAAATATAGTCTATAAAATGTACTTACAGATTGCAAAGCGGGGCATCATATCCCTTTTTGATCTGTTCCAATTTGTAATCATACCCTATCTTGAATAGAGTTTTCTGAATATAATTCATCTCTTGGACTTTGCTCATAACATTCTTATAAATTCGATCCATGATTTCCTATAAGGTAAGCAAAATATTCAATAATCTGAAAAAAATTACACCAACACTGAGACAGTCTTTAGTTGAAGATACCTTATTTACAACATCTTATGCTAATATTATCTTTAGTATAATAAATATATTTACTTTATTACATAGTTAATTTCACTGACTTGTCTCCTATTTCAAAAAAAACTAAAGACAAGTATAGGGGTCTCTTCAGGTCTATACACTGAATTTATTTAAATTTTTAAAAATGTTAATTAGATTAAAAATATTCACCTCTCACATAAAGGTAATTTTTCAAAATTCCATTCTTTCAAATATATTCACTTATTATCAAATAGTGCCAAAACGTCCAACTATGCTGACTCTAATCCTAATGTTTTTCTCTTTATTACTAGTACTTTCTGACTCTTACAGCATGTCAGAGAGCTTTATAGTTTCTTAAAATTCTTATGTCCCTGTAACTTAGACATTTCTATTCCATTTTAATAGAAGCTTAGAAAACAAAAAGGAACAGGATTCTTGTTCACAGCTCCTTGGAAAATTAGAGGTAGGACTAGGTTTGGGATAAACTGGCTCTCACGCTAATACATACAAAATAAAAAACAAAACAAAACAAACAAAATGGGAAAGAGGCTGCCCAATTAAAACTGCAGCCCAGTAGGGAAAGAGCAAAGACAGTAAGTATGCAGATCCCTCTCTCACACTTCCTACCCTCTGATCTCTCATGAGCACCAACAATTGGCTGAACCCAGCCAGAAATCAGAAGACAGGCAGGCCCTGGTAATTTGGTCACAGAAGTTAGCTTCCCAAGCCACAAAGTAAAGAAGAATAGACAATGGGCAACTGCAAAATACACAGCATATCATCTAACTCCTGTTTATCCTTCAAGCCTAAATTCAGACATTACTTCCTAGATTTCTCAGGCTTCCCACTCCCTAACTATGTTCCCTGATAAGGCTTATTAGGAGCGGCTCCTGTACTTTGGATAATAAAGCTAACATACTATTTCCCAAAACAAAACAACAAAAACATTCTTAAATGGATAGCCATAGTGGTTAAGACTCTGGGATCAGATTGGTAGAGATCAAACTTCAACTCTACCACCTATGGGCTGTGTGACCTTAGGGAAATATTTTTCTTTATAAAATGTGGATAACAAGACCTAACTAGCAGAATTTTAGGGAGAATTAAGTGAGATAATCTACCTAAATAAAGCACTTAGCACAGTGCCTGGAACATAGTAAGTACTACCCTACCTATTATCAGCAACATTTTAGTTTGTAAACTTGCTGAATTCTACAGCACCTCTAAGTAAAAAGGCAAATGCTGCTCTGACTTATTCTAATTCTTTGGCTACTTGGTAATTTTGTAATTAGAAGCTAAAAGAAAAAAACCCCACAGTATCTTCCATCTCTAATTCTTGGAAAAACTTACACTGAACATTGCATTATCTAATCTTAGACTCTCCATGTGCAAAGACAATTCTGTGAAAGATATTGGGATAAGATTTAAAGTCTGATCATAATACAAGCAGTAGTGATACCCAGCCCCACTGGAATTTTCAAAGCCTAAAAGTAGTAGAATATGTTTAATTATACACGTTTGAAACATTGCATTAAATATTTCAGAATTTGTCATTATGAGACTATAAAACGTAACATCTTATTTATATAAAGGGCAGCACTTCACATAAGGATTTTGAACAAGGAGAATTAAACATTTTTCTTTGGGAGCTCTCAAATGACAGCTTTCTAGGTCATCATAAGGGTCAAGAGGCTTGGATTTTAGACTCAACTCTGCCACTTACCAGCTCCGTAACCTTGGATATGCTGCTTCCATTCTCCAGGATGGCATAGGTTTCCCCATTTTTTAAATTAAGTGACTAAACAAAATGATCTTTAGAGTATATTCTACTTTTAAAGTATTATGACCAATCCTCACTCTAGGTCAGGGGTGGGGAACGTCTGGCCCGAGGGCCATATAAGGCCCGTGAAATCATTTGGTCCGGCCCTGCCAAGGCAACCGCAGGCAGGACTTGAAATTCAATAAATCTAGGACCTTTTCTCATAGCTAATTTTTAAGTTGATAATTTTGTATGGCCCTCGAATGACGTTATAAATATCCAAATGGCCCTTGGCAGAAAAAAGGTTCCCCACCCCTGCTCTAGGTAATTTGAACTTGGTCATTTTCAGCATCTAATTTTCAAGTATCAGCAAACTCTACCAGCTACACGTTTCAGAAGTTTTTGACTTCATCTCTCCCAATACTTATCTAAGGTTCTAAGGAACATATTTGCCATAATACACACAAAGAAAAAATGTCTCAAAATGCACACAAATACTTAAGTGTTTTACTTTTTAAAAAGTCTACATTGCAAGCAACAAATGCCATTTATACTCTGCACTCACCGGAACAGCTGCCATGAGCGTAGGCTTCAGTACACTACAGTCTCCTTTACTTCCTTTTTTAATTTTGCTGGACTACATTAGAGAGTAAGTAAATAGGATTAGGGCAACTACTCTTAGCAAGAAACTGTTATCACTCAAGTGTTAACAATAACAAAGGCAGAAATTTACACATGGAATTTGATCTACTGCTCTGAGTTATTGGTTAAAACTATCATAACCTTTGAGCCTGAAGTTTAAGTGCTTTAGTGCTTTATCCCACAGATTATTTCTTCTAGCACATTTCAGCCTAGAGTAGAAACTATGATGTAGGAGAAGGGGATATTTTGGTAAATCAAGCATTCTTACAACATTACCATCAAATACAGCATTGACCATACATTTTTCAACGAGACAAAACCCCTCAACTAAGGTAGATCAAACACTGAAACAAAACTGAAGATAATTTTAACTTTGATTAACTAAAAGGCAAAATCATCATCTCAAAGTACTGCTATGAACATGAATTAACACATAGAAATACTAATTTGATAACATTTTGGTTGACAGAATACTGAAGACACTGGCAGTGACCATGTGGGGACATGCACATATATTTGTAAATGTGTGTATATGTTTTTTCTATTCTTTTCTTTTCTTTCTTATATACATAAATACTATCTAATATTTCAAATGTCAGAGCAGAAGGTAGAAAAACTGATAGTCGCTCACTGAAAGAGGTAGACAAAAATAAGAATCTGCTATAATGCAGTTAGTAAGTTTAGCTGCATCACGTGCTAGCAATGGCCAACATAGGCAGTAAGAAAAGCAGCTCATGGGGGAAAGAAGGGGACATCTGTGATATTTTTAACAATAATAATAAAAAAAAAAACAACAGCTCTTCAGAAGCAGTGGGATCCTCTGGTACCACCAGCTCTGCCACATAGAAGGTTCTGCTGGTAGAACTCGATAGCTTTTATCCTACTTTTCTTTAAGACAGAGGAAATAAAATTATTCCTTGTGTTTCACGTACGTGCAAGTGTGTGCAAGTTTGCAAGTGAAAAGCTACACCCGCACATGCACACCACACACAGAGGGCTGTTCTGTAGAGAACAAGATGGGCTCTAATGTCCTTCAAATCCAAGCTGATCTCCACATGCTGCTGACCAGTTTTTGCTATAGAGAGCAGTTCCAGGATATCAGTAGCCACAAGGAGTCATTTTTGGCTTTCTTTATAATTCTCAGTAATATTTCAGTTCTTGTCTTTATTGTGATCACAGTAACCCTAGTTTTGACAACATCACTGTCATCTGCTAGCTTCCAATATGGCCTCTCTGGTCTCCCACCTTTTTCTGATTTCCTACATAAGGGATACTCCTGGGTTTTTGATTCCTAGTCAGATTGAGACTCTTTATAATAAAGTTTATTTTAAAAGTAGGTATGAGTGGCCCTGACCGTTTTGTAACAGGATTCTAATGTACTACTTGGCCTGAGAGACAGCATGAATGAAGTGAGACCAGCAACAGACTCCGGCTGCCCTGATCCCCACAGTGAGGCTATTGTTTTCAGAAACGCAGTGAAAGCAAGGGTTTTGTGTACTTCCCTGCTGGGGTGGAAATCATATGCAAAGCTTATTGAAACATCATAAGCTGTTTTGAAAACATCTCCGAACATAAGAAAGACTCACTACACTGCATCAAATGTAATCATCACAGGTTTTTCTTTAAATTTTAAAAATAACTTAAGCCCCAGTCTCATTCATAGGTCTATTACTACTTCACTAGATCAAGTCTTGTTTATCAGTTTACTTGACAGTTTACTTATTTTATCCATTACTATTCTAGCGGATTTTAAACGTGAATTTTTAGCTGAGTGGTTTGGTGAAATACAGCAAGCTCTCCATCTTATAAAGAAGATGTGGTCCTTAAAGTACAAAATAGGTAATTATTTGGAACACAGAACATTTTCTCATGGTGAAGCCACTTAAAAGATAGTGGGTAGTATCCTTGGGGGTAGGATAGTGGTAATGATGAGGAAGGGACACAGGGGCATTCTAGAGTCTAGAAATGTTATTCCCTCCACCCCCCTTGATCTAGATGGTGATCATCACAGAGGTCTATATATGTATGTGTATATTAAATTTAATCAAGCAGTGCTCACTCTTAAGGTATGTGCACTTTAAGTTTACATCTAAATCCCCTCCCCCCAAAACAGAGAAAGATGGTTGCAATCTCAAATAAGTATAAAAAAAAAATCTAACTTTTTTGTCTTAATATTATAAAAACTTACCTAACTTCTACCTAAAATGGTATGTGTACCAAAAAAAATATTAGAGTTTCTAACTGAACACCAAGGGCACATCTTCCTACTAAATGCATGCTCCATCAAGACACCCAAATAAAAGGCAGCATTGCCTGGGGTCCTTAAAAATGACAGCTGTCCTCCAGTGATGGGAGTGGCAGAAGTCACAAAGAGAAGCAAGTCATTCCTACCTATACTCAGTTTATCTTTCAGCATTCTGAACTCCACAGCTCCCTTAGAAGCTCTTTTTCCCCCTCAATGTCTGGTTGAAGCTTTTCTATAGCCAAAGAAGAAATTAATCAGAGCTACGGACAGTAGGTATTAGATGTGTGAATTCAAATGGGCTTAAAATTCATGAATTAGCCCTACCCATTGTTGGGCTTCCTGCTATGAACAACAGGGAGAAGGGAGAAGCCTGACTCAGGGAAGAAATCTGGAGGCTGCCTTTGGACATGCTGCAATGCTGTCCAATAGAACTTTGCACGATGATGAAATGTCTGCTATCTGTGCTATCCATATGGTAGCCACAGGTAATATGTAGCTACTGAGAACTTGCAATGTGGCTAAAGAAATTAAAAAACTGAATTTTTATGATTTAATTTTAATTACTCTGTATTTCAACATGTAGCTAGTGGCTACTGTACTGGACAGCACAACTCGAGAGAAAACTCAGAGCAAAACTGGGCCAAAATCCTACCAACACATCTCTCCAAAACCCCACCAATGTTCATGAGTAATATGTCAAAAAAGGCCAAGTGTATTTATATTATCTATCCTAGCTCTCTGAAATAAAAATCCAATAAAGATAAGCTGAAAGAAATGATTAGTTTCAAAGTAATTTAAAAATACGTAGATAAAGCAATGTAAAAAACAAGTTTATTTTCTACAGCTACACATTGCTCATGGGAACGATTTTTGAAGTCATGGAATACGTTTTAGCTGAATTAAAATATCTCATGCTTTAATAATATGTTCTCAGCCAAACAATGGAACTTGCCATTGATCATGCCAATATACTAAAAAGCTTGTCACCTGGTCAGAAAGGGTAAGTGGAGAAGAATATCCGATTCTACAGCCATAGGTAAAGCATGATATCTCTGCTGTCAATTCTAGGACATGAGCCAAAGGCAGGTAGCCAATATACGTGTCCTTTGGTCTAAAAAGAAGAGAAACATTTTAGCTTATCTTAAAAAGGCACTGTAAATTAGAAATGTCAATAACCTTATCTTTTTAATATAGATTAAGTTCAGAGAACGCCAATGTGAGCTCTGATTTCTAAGAAGAAAATTGAATGATTCTCTCTTACCCCAGACCAGGAATTCTCTCACACTGGCCTGCCATTCCAGCTATCAAATTGCTATGATGCATCATCACTCCCTTAGGTCGGCCAGTAGAACCACTGGTATACATGACGATAGCCATGTCCGAAGGAGCTGGTCTATTTGGAGGAATGCTTACTAAATGAATGAAAAAGCACCATATTAATGACTGGAAGATACACAAGCATTCGAGATACTACCACCATAATCAGGGTAATAGACATATCCATCACCTCCCTGAGTTTCTTTGAGTTCTGTTTTTGTTGTTAACTTATCTTTAAGGTGACTTCAACTCTAAAATTCTAACATGCTAAATTTTAAACAGCACACTGGGGCTTCAACTTTAAGATAGTGTATCATGCTAACCTAGTAACCTCCCTTCTATCCCAGAATATACCAAAATATCCAAGAAGAGGTATATTATCAGAATTAAATAAAAGTTTAACAAGATTCTTGGATTTTTAAAAATCAGTTTATACTCTGTATGATACTATAATAGTGGATACCTGTCGTAATACATTTATACAAAACCCATAGAATGTACAACACCAAGAGTGATCCCCAATGTAAACTATGGACTTTGAGTGATTATGATGTGTCAATACTGTAGGCTCATCAATTGTAACAAATGTACGACTCCGCTGGGAAAAGTTGATAGTGTGAGAGGCAGTGTGTATGTAGGGGCAGGGAATATATGTGAATTCTCTATACCTTCCTGTCAATTTTGCTGTGAATCTATAACTGCTCTACAAAATAAACAAAAAAATTAGTTTATGAAACTGAATTACATTTTATGCACAAGTTAAAATAAAAATTTTAAACAGTGTGATTTTGCCACTGAAATAACCAAAGGTAAAGTTATATGTAAATTGGCTAATGCTAACGCTCCTTAAAGATATCTACTGTCAGAGTTTAAAAACCCAGAAAATTGGAACTAGATCCTTCGTTTGATGACTAATGAATGTAGCAGCAGTACATACAGGGTGGGGCAAAAGTAGGTTTACAGTTGTTTATATGGAAAATCATACAATGATAAATAATAATATAAGAATAAACTCTGTGTTTCATGTACTCACAACTGTAAACCTACTTTTCCTCACCCTGTATGTTAAGCTCTTCTCAGTCTAAGCACACAGTGTGACATTTCACTTCTTATCATCATAATAACAACTATCTCCTCAGATAAAGTATCACAAAAAATATGTACCTTATCTAGTGTAGAGATTAGTGGAACTAGGTGGGACATGTGATCTATCATGATATTGCTATGAGGACAAAATATCCCCAAAGTTTCGTGCCAACATCCTTTGATGAATTAGCAGAATTGACAACAGATCCCTACTGATCAGGACTTCCCATTCAAGTTTACCCCAATCCTGCAGGGTCAATCTGATGTTGAGGGATAATTCTCCATGGGTCTCTTGAGCTTCCACACATGGGTCTTGTGAGTAGAGGCACTGGCTTTATTCTAGAATATCTTTTCAAGAAAGTTTGTACAGTGAACAGACTTGGAAGACAGAGATAGTGCCTCCCTCCAAAGCCTCTGTTTACTGTCCGATACAACAGAGGTAATCTCTCTCTCCAGGACACAGGACAGGCATACTTACTGCCCATTGTAAGGTTCAGGTTCCCTAAGCTCAGGGTTCCTCTCCTATAACACAACCCACTGCATGTGCAGGGGTCATCTAACCCTCTTCACACTGCCCTGTGGAAACTGGGACACAAGGAAGCAACACAAATGCTGATACTCTGGGTACTGCTATTGCTGTGATTAAAAAACTGTCCATCTCTGACACAGGAGTCTTGTGTCTCCAAGAAGCTGTGGCAGCCTCACTTGTCTGCTTACAAGTTGGGTAAAATATTCATAAGCTAAAATATTCATATTTTATGTAAAATATTCATAAGCTAAACAGAGGTTCAACCAACATTTTCTTCTGCCAAAATGAATCCTTTCCTCATCTAGGACAGTATGGTGACCTTCACATTAAACATGACAGAAAAACTATTTAAATGGAGTGTTTAATTTCCTCAAGCCTCTGTCTTAATGACCAACTGATATTTTGCTACAAGGTGGATTTACTTGTTTCAAATGAAATAGCACTTACCACCTCAGTGGTAGAATAAATCCAAGCATGAATATTGGCAAACAGCTTTGCATCCCCTAAGACATCATTAAGATCACTAGAATTAAGTATTAAAAAAAGTTTACTGAATGGAAGTTCTGAGACCTTTTCCTTGTATGAGGCCCAAATTGGAAGGTTATAGTAGACTATTTAAAAAAAGAAAAGTTAGGCAGCAACTGCCATAAAGTCTGAACCATTACATACATCTCTACTACTTAGTAAATTTTAAAACACTGGTTATCTTTTAGAGGAAAAAGGTTAGGAAAATCTTAATAATATATGGTCTTGATAGTTTTTAAACTTTTTAATCAAAGAACTTTACATTTTTCATTCATGTCACTTCTTTTCCCAACCTACTGAAATAACCTTGAACAGATAAACTTGTTTTAACTGCTTTACTTACAGTTTTCTGGCTTGGATCCCAACTCTTCTACTGATTGCATGCTGTGAATCTCAAATCCTTCAGGGTATTCTGTTTTATTGATAGCCTTATTGTCCACATAAATGATATGTTTAACACAACTGATATCTAACAACGCAGTCTGTTGGGCAGAAAGAAAATCCAGTTATTATATATGGGCCTGCAGTTAACTCAATTACTGAACATTTTTTCCTGTCCTGTCAGATAACACTACCATGAATTAAAAGAAAATTTCGTACTTACCTTAAGTTTACTTTCCAGAAGTTCAACACTAGTAATCAGATAGGCAGCCTCAGACTCATTTAACCCATGAACTACAGCTTCCCTGCCAAGTGTGGCATATAAAGTCACAACTACATAATAAAAAAATAAACACAAAAGTTAAATGATAAACATTTATTCAGTATATTATTTAAATCAGCCTTTAATGATACTCACAGATGCAAAGACATTTTATAATTTAATTTGATTTCATAGTCTCTGCTATATTACCCTTCAACCTAGTCTCAAATTTCCTGGTAGTCCAAAATTTTCCTCACAAATTCTCAGAATTCTAACTTTATAAACCTGATGAGACCCAGAAATACAGAAAGTGCCACAATTGGTCAAAAATAAGTCAATTAAGATGGTCAAGGCCAATAGGTTCTGGCTGAACTATTTTTTTTAACTTGTATTTTTTTAATTTTTAATTTTTTTTTCAATTACAGTTTACATTCAATATTATCTTGTATTAGTTTCAGGTGTACAGGTTAGTGGTTAGTCAGGGGTGGGTAACCTTTTTTTGCCAAGGGCTATTTGGATATTTATAACATCATTTGAGGACCATACAAAATTATCAACTTAAAATTAGCCTGCTATATTTGGTCAATTGGTATACTTATATTTGATCAATTGGTATATTTAATTGAATTTACTGAATTTCAAGTCCCGCCTGCGGTTGCCTTGGCAGGAACAGACCAAATGATTTTGCGGGCCATTTACGGCCCACAGGCCAGACATTCCCCACCCCTGGTAGATAACCATATACTTTACAAAGTGTTCCCTTTGATATTTCCAGTAACCAACTGGCACCACATATAGTTATCACATACACAATATTATTGACTACATTTCCTTTACTTTCCTTCGCTGTATTTTATTTATTTTATTTTAAAAGCTTTCTTTTTTTATATCTTTATTGATTTCAGAAAGAGGAAGGGAAAGGGAGAGAGAGAGATAGAAACATCAATGATGAGAGTCACTGATCGGCTGCCTCCTGCACACCCCCCAGCTGGGGATGGAGCCCACAACCCAGGCATGTGCCCTGACCAGAATCAAACTGCAATCTCCTGGATCCTAGGTCAATGCTCAACCACTGAGCTATGCCTAGCCGGGCTCCTTCACTGTATTTCAAATGCCCATGACTGTTTTGTAACTACCAATCTGTACTTAGTCCCTGCACTTTTTTCATCCAATCTGCCAAACTGCCCCCCTCTGACAACCATCAGTCTGTTCTCTGTACCTATTTTTCCATTTCTGTTTTGTTTGTTTATATTGCTCTTTATATTCCACATATAATTGAAATCATATGGTGCTTGTCTTTCTCTGACTGACTGACTTCAGTTAGCAATAATACCCTCAAGGTCCATCCATGCTGTCGAAAATGGTAAGATTTCATTCTTTTTTATGGTCTGGCTGAACTCTCAGTGCAAGTCAGAGCTATCCCAGGAAGGGCTCCCCTGTGACACACACTTTCACTTTCATTGGTCATAGCACCAAAGAAAGGGTAAGTCCTTGAGAATCCTCATATTTTGAGGATCTCAAGCCAGAAAATAGGCCATGAATCATGTTCTCACTCCTTCTAAGAAGCTTTTTTAGTGGGTCTCAAGTCCACGTTGACTGGAGATCTCCAAGCCTAAACTGGAGTGGAGAAGGACATCTGCTCTTTAGGATTTAACAGACAAAGAAAACAAACTGAAACCCAGATCAGTTAGAATCAGAGGGCATCTGCTAGACTTAGATAGGCTTGGAAATTCAGCTCTAAGCTGGTAACCAAAACAGAAACATAGTTAAGAACAGCTACTTTTCCCATGCTGTTGAATGTTCGAGTTGGGTGATGCATATATAGGGGGTCATTTTCATATTATCTATTTTTGTTTGTTTTAAATGCAAACCCTTGATTCCTACACCACACCTAGAGTGTTCTATTTCATTCAACAAATAACCGAGTGCTTAGTATGTGACAGGCACTGTTATGGACTATTAATATTTTAAAATAATTTCTTGCACAATGGCTAAAGAAATATACCCAATTTTACTTCCTGGACAACATACCTAATTCCAGTTCAAGCTATCACATACTTCTTTCACATGTAAAATGGAAAAAGTAAAGTAAGAGACCTTGAAGTGAAACAATGAACTAGAATTATCTTAAGCAATGATTTTTTGGTGATTATTTTTGGGTCGCTGCCCCCCAAAATGCCTCTGAACCCGCAAATTTTCAAGTACAATTCACTTCCAATTAAAAAGTAAAATTCTGCCCGGCATGGCTCAGTGGTTGAGCATAGACCTATGATCCAGGAGATACTGGTTCAATTCCTGGTCAGGGCACATGCCTGGGTTGTGGGTAGGCTTGATCCCCAGCAGGGGGCGTGCAGGAGGCAGCCAATCAATGATTCTCTCATCATTGATTTTTTTCTTTCTCTCTCTCCCCCTCTCTCTTTGAAATCAATAAAAAATATATTAGAAATAAATTAAATAAATAAATAAAAAGTAAAATTCTAAATTCTATCTATTGAGCTGCCAAATCCCATACTAGCTCTTAAAAGTTATTATCTTTAACAGGAGTTATCAAATACCTTTTAACTACATTAAACACTGTTTTACAAATATAATTTAGGCAGATAAATGACTAAAGGACACCTACTTTGAAAACTTGAAGATCTCAGGACAATTTCACATGTAAGCAAAGCCCTCTCTCCCCCCTCCAAATGCACAAGGCACTTACGAGGAAAGTTGTACTTAAAGCAGGTCTGTGCTGCGATCATCCATTCGGCCCTGGTCTCACAGAAAATGGCAATAGTGTTCTTTGGTTTTAATCCCAATGCAGTGAGTCCACTACCAAAGTTATTCACTCGGAGGTTCACTTCAAGGTAGTTCATCCATTTATAATTCCCAAGAATTAACTGTTAAAGTGAGACATTCTCTAATATTAGTACATTTATTCAAACAAGCAATTTAAAAAATGATTCAAAGTGCGAAACTCTACAACTGCACTTAAGTGAATATATCGAAACTATGGAGGCCTTCTGAGAATCAGTTACACAGCACCATAATGGAATGCAAGGATATTTAAAATGCACTTGATTTATGATAAAGTAAAATGTACCCTCCCCATTTTAAAAAAATGAAAAGCACAAAAATGTTTTACCTTCTTAAAAACCTTTCCATTTGGCTGCATTTCATTTTCTTCACTTAGGATCTCCCTGGTCCCAAGGCTGTCCTTCTTCCCAAACGTGGATACGGCATGATCAAATAGCTTATCGAGAGTGTCTGCTCCGGGGATGTCTATGACAGCTAGTGAGTCGAAGTGCGTGACAGAGCGATATGGACTTCCAGGTTTGTCTGAAGTGGGTTTAGCTTTTATTCTCTTTGCCATAGCGTTTTTCTTCTTGGCATTGGTAAGAAAATACCATGGAATAAATATAAGGGCACTGTATATTGTTATTAACAAGTGGACAGGCAGCAAAATAATGGTGGGCACATTTAGCTTAAGTTTCATAGTGGCAAGGCTTCTAAAATGCTGTTTATTTCTTGTTATTCTTTGGCTTTGAAAAGCCTTATTGTGCTGAAGAAGGCAATAATGGAAGCAGCAGCAAGAGTAGTAGTATAGCCAAGGCAGTTCAATTTTAATGATACAGATAAAAGTTAGTAATCTTTGGAAGCCGACAATAAAGTACACCTGTAGGTGAAGACAATGAGCCAGGCAGAGAGCAGGAAAAAAAGACAAAACAAAAACAAAAGAGCATTAACAAGTTGATAGCATCATTGACTTAAATGCTCAGGTCTTTATTAGTTTATATAATTGATCTGATACAGAAATCTGAAATAACTGGTCTGAAAGATTGGCAGTTCCCATTTTCATCTTATTGCCATAAACGTCTGAATTGAATCTTCCCTAGGTTTTTAGGTATAATTGATACTCTGGGCATCATTCTGTAAGTTAGTTGTGTAACACTAATACTTACATGAATGAATGAATATGATATTTAATTTTGGCTGAACTTTGGGAGAGTAGGGATGCCAATAATGTGTTTCTCTTAAATATGTATATGTAACCTAGAAATAAGTATATGCAAATCAGCTTTAAGTCAGATTTGGTTTTGTATCCAAAAGGGAAAACCAATCCAGCATTTTAGGTTTATTTCTCAAAGATCAACCCATAAATCTTATTCTGAGTTCTTCATTAAGGAAAGCTTCTGAGATAATGCTATTCGCTATCTCCTATTCCAAAAAATTAGAGCAAAACAATCATAAAACCATTTCCTAAGTGTCCTCTTTGTGCTCAAAATTGCACCAGTTGCTTGGGAGTGGTAGTATTAAGTCTGAAGTAGTGTAAGTCCCAGCCCTTGCCCGTTACAAGTTAATGCTTATGAGGCAATCAGCATACCAGATAGATCCAGCAATTTTCAAACTCTTTTTTTTTTGGGGG